AGGAAGGCCCAGTTAGGATATCCACATTGCTCTAGAGCCTGTCTTGTGTAGGATTTCTCCTTCTGCCTGGCTCCTGAGCTGGTGGGGACGCTGTCTGCTCTGTGGTACAGAGTCCTGATGACTCCTAACTTGTGCTCCAAAGGGTGATGGGAGTCAAACTGCAAATACTGCTCTGTGTGGGTGGGTTTGCTTAAGAGCTTAAGCTTGGTATTTTTATCGTATCCAAAGAACAACTAAAAATGAAGGTACTAAAGAACTAAAATTAACAAGGTTTAAACAATGATCCTTTGAATTATGTTTACCATTAGCTGCTAAAATAGCACCTGTGTGCACATCAGTACAAATTAAAGTCTGAGTATTTCTTTTTTCAGATGATCTGACGGAAATGTGTGCATTGGTGTACCTGGATGTAGTCAAAGTTACAGAAGCTGGATGTTCCCTCCAACTGGAAGGCAGTAAAGGTGTAGTTAATTGTGTTTCCACTGGTGGCCTGGATGGTCCAGCTGCACAGGGAGTTGGCTGGGTAGTTGTTTGGAAAGTTTAGTGACTCGATCACTCCTCTGTGTCGACCTGAGATCAGGATGTTCTGACATTCTGAAAGCAAACACAAGCAGACAGAATAAATACTTTTCATTCATTCAACCTTTATTTATACAGGTTAGTCTCATTGAGTCACAAGGACTCATTTTCAAGCGAGACATGTTTTAGACAGACAACATGAAGTACATAAAGTACCATACAAGAAGTACAGTACAATACTGTGATTTCTTTACTTAAAATTCTAACCATACTTGCTAACTATGCACTATAAACATAAAATGACTTGGTTAAAAACTGATTATTTTATTTTAAATATTAAAATGTAACTAAAGACTATATATTTAAATAATAACGTGAAATCAATTTAGTAGAAGACATTTCTATCATGCCCTCTCTATCTATTGGTGCTAACGCTGCTGAGAGACTGCAGTACCTCGGACAGTAAATGATGTTAAACTGTTTGGAACCAAACATCAAAAATAACAAATGCTCATCAGCATGTGCACGTTTATCAAAACCTAAAGTTTTAATGTTGTTTTATCAAATATTTTCTTGTATTTTTTTCATTTGTTTGACTCCTCTGCAGACAATCATGGTGTTACACCATTTTTCTTTTAAGTATCTATTTATAGCTAATCTTCCTAGAATAAATGTTTTGAACAAATGGCTGCAAAGTATGAACTCCATGAACAAAGAAGGATCAAGACCAGAAAAAATAATCTGGTGTTTTCTTATTTTTACTTTATTTATTAATTTATTAATTTTGACTTCACAACAAGGCAGCATGGTGGCACAACTGCTAGAGCTGCTGCCTCTTTGTGAGCAGGTCCCTGGTTCAAATCCTGGATTTAATGTTTGGAAAAATGCATCAACACAATAATTTTAAAATATTTGTGTAAATATGCACAACAACAGCTGGTCTATTAATCATAGAAACAGAAGCATTTCCCATCCACTTCCACCTAAAACAGGAGTATTTGTATGTTTAATCTGTTAAAAAAAATAGACAGGGGCACAGTTTTCTGGATTAAATGAGATAACCAATGTGCAAACTGCTCCTTAATATTTATTATTGTTATATGTTTGAATTTATTTTTGGGAAAGATTTTATAGATTTATACAATGATTCCTTTCACCTGGATAATTCTGTTTTAATTTAGTTTGTTGCATCTACTTGTTCACATCTGCAAAAAAATTCTTATATAATTTACTTTCGCAATGTGTGTTCTTAAAGTACATAAGCAAAACAAGATGTTGCATTTTAAAAATATTGCACAGCATGCGTCTGTTTTCATACTGGAGCCGTATGATGCGAGGAAGCCTCCAGCATTGATGCTGTTGTCTGTGCGGAGTTTGATGTACAACTGGTGGCTGGAAGAGTTGATGCTGCCTGGGAGCTCTGTGCCACAGAGTCTGGCCAGTTGTGGAGCACTGCTGCTGTTCCCATCAAATACCTAAAAACACAAGTAATGAATGCAAATTACATAACATCAGTGTGTACTGCATTTTGTTGAAATTTCCAGATTGGGAAAGAGAGGATTTAACCAAGTTACTGAAGATAAAAAAATAAAAAAATAAAAACTTTAGCATGCAAACTGAGCTTCTGTTTTGGAGATGGGGTATGTACAACAAGCAGCTGAGGAGACAGTCAGCTGACCAGATAAGTACACACAGAATGCAGTATGCAATAAGGTAAATCTTAAAAGTTTAAAACAGGCCACTGGACCAGGTCTGAAAGAGTTTCAAGATTTGCAGCCCTGTACATTACAGTTTGAACAGAAAATCTCTCTGATGAATTTGCTTTTAAAAAAGTCAAAGGCTTTGCCTTGTCCTCGTTGAAACAGATACATGCATGTATATGTTTATATAATAACAATCCAAATGATTTTTTTCCCATTTGCAACCATTACTTTGTTTATTATAGACTTACTTAAATTATTATTAAATAGAAACCAACGATCACAATATTAGGATCATTTCAACACTTGCTCTTGTCAAGGGCGGACGTCTTCTCCTCTCCCTCTCCGTTTTGCTTTGCTCTGTCTTGTCTGTGAAACTGCTTAGAGCCTCTCTTCTACAAATCTTCAGAATCATAATTATGGACTTGGATTTGGTCAGTTCAACACAATTGATAACATTTCTTTTAAGAGAAGACGGGCTTTAGGTGAGCCGATTTGCCCTGTTGGCACACATGCAGCTGGATATCTCATCGACTTGGAAGACTTGATGACATGTCTGTCTCTGCTGCCATCTGTGGATTTTAAGGACACATTTATAATTTGATTTATGATAACTGGTTACTGATTTTTGGATTTGGTTGGTTGCTGGTTTATCTACAATCAAAAAAATCATTGGCAGCAAATTTGGACCCGATCAGGCTGCTTGCTTTATGATGGCTTGGTTCGTGCCTCGAGCACCCAGACTCAAATGCTTTTGGCAGAATGGATCAGATCGCGGGGATTATTCTCAGGCACGGTCCATTGGTGTGGCCATGTAATTTGGATGTTTTGGAACTGAGTGGACCGGCACAGACTCAAGGTAGATGTCATTAAAGTTCTTCCTGTCCCCAAAACAATTGTGTTTATCTGAATTTGGCTCCCTGACTGACCTTGACAGGCAATCTTATCTTAACCCGTCTAGAAGTTTTGTGAACTTGATGGCTCTCTCACTCCCTCCCCTCCTACCAAGGAATTTCCATGGACTTTGTAGAGGGGCCCAGCTGAATAAACATG